CCTCTCTATGATGGAGGGGAGGTCACAGACCCGGCCTCTTCACCCACCATCCTTCTCGCAACGCGTTCTGTCCCATGCCGCATGTGCTGGCAGCATCAGACTAGTCTACTTGTTGTCTTTAACTTCCAGGGACTCTTTATTTCCAGCTGTGGTGCAGATTCCTCTGATGTAAGAAGGTGGAGTTTGTCCTAGAAGTAAAAGAAAACCGGTGATAGAAGGTGGTGACTGTCTTTTGTTCAGGGAATGCTGCAAATCAAGAGTGATATGCAGTGGAAAAATTCCCTCTGTAGGCAGCAATTGTAGGAAATGCTAAAAACGGACTGCGGAGCAGATGCGTCTCGGTTGTCACAAGCAGTTAGAAGGCACTGGCTTTAAACACGATTTGTTGTTTTGTTCTCATTTCAGGAGACCTCAGCCATGCAGAGCTGATGATGATGACGATAGCTGACATCATAAAGCAATTAATTGAGGCTCACGAGCAGGGGAAAGATGTGAATCTGAACAAGTAAGTCGCTCTGCAATGACCCTGGAGAGGCAATCCACCTGTGATGAACGTGTCCCGCACAGTCCTGTATGTTCAGGCGTTATTTTAAAATGTTTCCTTTGCACAGACTGCTATAATCTCTTTTACTGTTACCTGATTAGAATATAACACCAAGATTTCTAAATTCTGTGGTGATTCGCCACTTTGTTGGCAATTCTCAGAGTACACAATGGGATGTATTGGTGAAAAACTCTAAAAAACTTGTCATTGCCTTTTGTGCTTCTACATGTGTTCATCCCTCAGTAGTCCTACAGTCAGTTCCGTCGGGGAAAGGGGAGATTAGTTTAGGGATAAAGTTTAAATCAAATTTTTGTATCAATGAGTTATAAATGAAGTTGTTGTTTACAGAAAGTTCTTCTCCTTTACACATGGGGGATAGTAAAACTTGAATTTGTCCCGCTGTTTCCATTTAATTTGCATGATATAATTGCAAACTTTTTATTGATGCTGGAAATAACTGACATGAATGTCTGAGAAATGAACTCAGCTGGAGTCTTTATGTAGGGGCTAATCGCATGGAAGATGTACGAAAATAATGAAATCACTGGAAATTGATAAGCCAGAGCCTGTGGGCAGCTTTCACACATTTCTGATGAAACCGTATTTAGAAGAAAGAATATCCAGAAACTGAAATCATTGGCAGTTGTTACATATCACCTTTTTTGGGGGATTTATTTTCTGCATCTTAATATCCAGTACGACTGTTGGAAGGAATTACTTTTTAAATAATTTACCTGGAAAGGCAAAGGGGGAGCAGCTGCCTAGATCTCCACGTAACTGAACTGCGGTGGAATATGGGTCTGCAAGTCAGCGGGGAGTTGTAAATGTGAGATATTTCTGCTTTCAGGCTGAAAACCAAGACGTCAGCAAAGTATGGACTTGCAGCGCAGCCCCGTTTGGTCGATATTATCGCGGCCGTCCCACCCCAGTACCGCAAGGTGCTGGTACCGAAGCTGAAGGCCAAGCCCATCAGAACTGCCAGCGGGGTAAGAACTCCAGCCACCACCTTCCTCCCCTGCTCTCATCAATCAGTTGTGGTTAATTGTTCTCCAAGACCAGGATGTTGAGTGTCCAGAAGCTTCCAGGTTGCCTTTTTTGTGATGTTGGGCTGTTGCTTTCAAAGCGTTTGGGAGAAGAGAAGGAGGAGTATGGGGATTTTGTTTCAGAGCAGCATGTCTTGCTTTTTAGTCGCTGTAGAAACAGTGCAGCTTAATCTGCCGGTCCTCTCAGTGAAAAAAGGTAAAGCTTGTATTTAAAAAAAGTGTTGAACCTGTTTCTTTGAGAGGTAGTTCAGGCTGAAAGCAGGAATAGAGGTCCAGCTAACATCCAGCTGTGCATTTTTCAGCTTCCCTACTGTGTGTGTAGCATACCTAAACTCAGATTAACAGAAAAAAAAACAAACCCTGGGATTTTGGCTTCCAGTTTTGGAAGTGTTCAATTTTTATAACTTAATTTAAAAAAAAAAAAAATCAAACAAAAATTCCAAACAAAACCACAAAAAAACCCCACCCCCCCAAAGAAAACACCTTAATTTATTTAATTTATTCTTTCTGGATATAGCATATTTAATTAAACTCTTACTGTGACCAAGTTTTCTGAAAACTGGACATGAGGTATTCCAAGTTGGGTGCCCCAAATTAGTGGACACTAGAAAATCTTGGTGTGTCTGTCTCTTGTTCCCTCTTTTTTTAAAAAAGGAAGATAGCATCTCACATTATGCTTTCATTTAATGTCCGAACAGCTTTTTGAGATCAACCTGGGGAAAAAAGGCTTTGCTGGTTTAGGTGGAAGGAGGACACTATTTTTATTATCATTGGTTTATATCTTTTGGGTTCTCCTCGTCTCTCCCCCATTTTCATCTTCCAGGTGGTGGGTGCTGTGCTGGGTGGCACGCTCTCACCCTTGCGCTGTTTCAGATGCATGGTAGATGGTGCTGGGGAATACCCCAGCGTCACTCTGCGTCTTCTCAGCAAGGCGGTTGATCAGATTTGGTGTAAAACACCTGGTTCTGTATAACACACTGCCCGTTTATTCTGAATTGTGAAAATATTAAATAATAGGATTCCTATTCCTTGATCTATTTATCTCCTTCAAGAGTTAACGCACAGATATTCTAGGTGGCAGACTAAGCAGAAAATGTCTTTAAATAGCCTCTCGCAGATGCTCATGTATATATATAGCCTTCAAAGATGCACTTTATTTTAGTAACTTCAGAAGCAATTACTATAATTTTTCTCCTCTGTAACTTTGCTTCTTGCAGATCGCTGTCGTGGCAGTGATGTGTAAACCACACAGGTGTCCGCACATCAACTTTACAGGCAACATATGTGTGTAAGTATGACAGCTGAGATGACCTCCGAGGACTGTTTTCCAGAATTTATGGATAAATCCAGTTTTGCTGTAGCATCGTGTTGGGGACAGGCTTCCTTTCTGCACAAGAGCAAATTTGCAGATTGCTGATACCTGCACATTATGTTTAAAAAAAAAATAATCTGCTTGTTTTCCATTCTTTGAGGACACCTTTTCTTTCCTGGGCCAGAGCCTGCTTACCTGTAGTAGATACACACTGTTGTGAATATAGTAACCAGGAGAATGTATTAATGATGAGATATAAGTGGTATGACTGCGTCAGGGTGTGCAGGTGTGTTGTGCACACAACTGGGTAGCTAAGCAGATGGGAAAAGACTCTTAGCAGAAAAGAAACGGGGCTTGATCTGAAAAGTGTGAGAACTGGTGAACCGAGACCCACTGAGGAGGTGCAGGTAGTGTCTGCAGGAACTTCCCAGTGTGCCAGCCTGGCTGTGCCTGGCTCTGGAATGAACCGAGAGCGCAGATGGAAGGGCAGGCCTCCGTCTGCCGAGAGCTCATGGCGTTAAGGGAATAGCTTCTGATTTTTGTTTGAATTGAGAAACCCAAGCTGTGTTTGCCTTGAAGGATGTGGCCTCTGTTTGAGTCTGTGCACCTGGAATCTCATCTGGTTTTTTTTTTTCTAACCGTAGCAGTTCATGTATTTCAAAACATGGCTTCTCTTTTGCCCCTTGTCACTCCTGAAATGTCAGCGTGTTTCACCACCAGCTGCCCAACAGAGCGAGCTGGCTCTGTGCTTGTTTTCGCACGAGCAGCTCTTCTGTTTGAGGTGTTCCAGGTAATTACGTCTACGAAATGTCTTCAATTGCGTTGCGCAACTTTTGCCAGCAAATTAATTTGGCCACGGTAATTTGGTGATGAATTTTCTAGTGGTGACAGATGACTGGGGGTGAGTTTGCAGGGCAGGCAGTGAAGAAGCTGATCGATTATCCTGTGAACTGAATGTGTCTGATTTCATAGAGCTGGCGTTATCTTAGCCTGTGCATTTCAGATCTGCACCGTAGGTAGCAATACGCTGCCTGCTCCGGTACCTGCTCTGCGGAGGAGCACAGCGCCTGCAGCTAGCGTTGGAGGGGTTCTCGACTCTCCTGGCTCAGGTCAGCTTTGAGCAAAGAATGACCGTACAGTGGTCATCAATCCCACAGCCCTCAGAAGGAAGCTAAGGACCCTTCAGAATAAATTTATATTCTTTCTAATGACTCTCTGCCGTGTGCCATTCCTCTCCTGGCTAGCAGTCGTGCTGTGACAGCCGCGAGCCTGTCTTGCTGTGTCACAGGAAAAGAGTTTCAAACAAGCCTCTAGATGTGGAAACTGCAGTTTAATACCAAACTTCGGTACACTTATCCGGAGTAGATGGACTGTATTCTTCTGATGTAGTCTTAGAATGCTGTATGCATGAAGTAGCATGTTCCTAAGCTCAGAAAACAACTGTAAGTGTGCTTTCTCCCCATCGAGGTATTTAAATTCTATAAATTTCTGGAAAAGAAATGTAGATTGTATAACAGAATGATGTCTCTATTTTATGTCTTTCCATACCAAACAAAAATCATATTTTACATTTTACATCAAATGACATGGGTATTTTTGATAGAATGGTGGAAAATGTTTAAATTGTTTAATATTTGCAGATACTGCCCAGGTGGACCTGATTCTGATTTTGAATATTCGACACAGTCCTACACCGGATACGAGGTATTACTTTGGTCCTACCCTGGGTTAGGTTGGGCTGCTCTTTATTTCTACAAATCCACCCATGCTGCAAGAATCAAAACCAAAAGCAGACTTCCTGAACTTCAAGATCTAAAGCAGCTCAGCTACCAGACTGGAAATTCTTCTCAATTATTGTAGCAGTTGTTTCTTTCTCCTTACCTTGCTGCTGCTCAAACTCTTAGATGTGTAATACGCCGCAGAGCAGGCTGTGATTCCGAGCAGGGTCCATGCAGCATCCTGGCTGTACCCCGGTGTGGAAACAGCTGTTCATGGGGATCTCCAGCTGTGGGAAGTGATGAGGGAGTCAGAGCAGTTGGAGGTGACATTGCTGTCTCCCATGGGACGCTGCTGCCTGCAGTCTGTTGAAATGAATGCTAGCTGTGCTTCCTACAGCAGTTATTCATCTGCGTCAAAAGTTTTCTAACTAAACAGTCCCGCAGAAGCTTAGGGTTTTACTGGTGGCTCGATATGGGTTTAAGGGAAAGGTGCAGAGCAGGCAGAGCCAGACTCCTCCTCAGAGCTGCCCAGTGCAAAGATGAGAGGCAACAAACATGAGCTGGAATGTTGTGCCTTAACGTAAGAAAAGAATATTTTAAAGTGACAGTTGTCAAATACTTGAGGAGGGCTCCAGAGACGTTTTGGAATCTCTGTCCTTAAAGAGAGTCAGACATGGACTGGACACAGCCCTGAGCATCCTGCCCTAGCTCTGTCCAACCTGCAGGACCCTGTGGATTAACAAAGGTCAGGCTTTGGAAAAAAAACCATTACTGAGCTGTTAGTGCTTCTGAAATTACATCTATGCCATTACGTGCCTGTATCTTGCTAAATATATTTAACAAAATAGTGCTTTCGGGTCATCTACCAAAAGTTTAACAGCAGCAGATCTCGTTGTGACTAAATCATTGTGACTGGTTGTCAGAAAACAGATATAAAGGAGTAAAATGGGGTGAAGTACAAAAGGGAATAATTTGGTAAACAGTGGGGCAGCATCCTTTTAGTATGGATTTTGCCTGTTGGCCCTTTTTCGGTGGCTTGAAACTTGTCCCGTTAGTGGGAAGCAGGACAATCCTGTGTATGTGTGCATTACTTTATAACTCGTGTTGGTTTGGATAGGTTGTGTTCATTTGTTTGATACTAACAGCGTGTGGGAGTTACGTGTGATTTAAAGAGTCCTCATCCTTTAGAGCTTTTAATACAACAGATATGAAATACCAAACAAATCCAGGATACATGAGATACTTGAAAACCTTGTCTTAGAGTATTATTAATAGGATTGCATTGGCTAGTAATATAAAAAATAAGTCATTAGGGGTTTCAGTGGAAATAATATGTTTAGGTGAAAGAATATTTGAAGTTTCAACTGAGTTCTAGAGGACATTCATTGGATAATGGCTGTGCAAGTGAAGAAAAAGTGAAATGAGAAGGACAGAAAAACTTGTATTTTGAAAAACATTTTGTTGGTGATTTTTTTTAAATATTTTTTGAGACTCACTGCAGCGATTCTTTATCCATCCTGCTGTAATGCACTAAAAATGTGAAAAATTGCATCATTTTCTTTGTGTCATATTACCACCTAGGGATCAAAAAATGTGTGAAGGAGCCAAATTCAAATGTACAATTGAATCGGTTCTCTGGTGGTGAGTTTGAACACTGTAGAGTCCATTAGGATTTGAAGACTTTAGCGTTTCAGTGGTAAAAGTTGTCTTTTGTTCTTTTCCACTGTATTTTTTTTTTTTTTTTTTCTAAAGAAAAGGTTTACAAAATGGATCTCCTTTTGTTTTTTTAGCCAACATCCATGAGGGCCATTCGGGCTAGATACGACCCCTACCTCCAGACAAGACACCGAGTGGAACAGGTAATTTTTTACAGGGAAAGGGGAATGCGGGATGATTGTGATGAGCTGCTGGGCTGGAAGGGTGACTGAGCCCTGGAGCAGGTTGCCCAGAGCAGTTGCACAGTCTCCATCCTGTGTGATACCTGAAGCTTGTCTGGACACAGAAACACACAAACTGCTGCAGGTGATGCTGCGTTGAGAAGAGAGGCTGGACTGGGTGATCTCCAGAGGTCCCTTCCAACCTCAACTTTTTCGTGATTCTGTAATTTCACGGTAGCCTGGCTTTACCCCAGAGAAAAAATATTTTTAGATCTTTTAATTGTCTAGCTGTCATTTCCATTAGATAAATGACACATGTTGAACCTTTGATAAGATCTTATCTGTTCTGAACAATACCTGGTTACTGTTAGGAGACCCTATCACAAGCAGATGGTACTGAACTTCCGTGGCACTTGCTAGTTCTTGATATTTACTTACATGGAGAATTCAGTGCTGAAATAGTGGCTTTCCTGCCAAAATGATTCTTTTTTTTTTCTCTCTGATGAAGAATCAGGTGTGAAGAGTTTCTCAGTCCTGTTCTGCTTTGGCTGGTTTCCTGTTTATCTCCAAAATTCTCCAATGGAGTCAGAGTGGTCCTTTTCTCCGTCAAGTTTTTAAGGAGTTAGTTATACATGGATTGAAGTAGATGAGAGGAAACTATTCCTACTGGCATCAAACTGGAACCGGTGTAATTCCACCAGAAATATGCTAGGCTCAAATAATTCTCCTTTGTCAAGAAAACCTGTTGTGCTGGGCTCAATATCTACTGTGTTCTTGCAGCAGAAAAAATAATTTTTGAGGGTTTTTTGTGGGGGAGATTATGAGAAATCTGTACAAAAATATTAATGGTTTGTCATTGATAAAAGATATGACAACTAAAGGAGGACATGCAGTGTAGGAGTGTGAGGGTTTTCAGAGAAGTGTTTTAGGTAAGTCCCTGCTGGGTAATTTTTCCCTGGTACTTTTCATTTTACAGCTGAAGCAGTTGGGCCACAGCGTGGATAAAGTAGAATTCATTGTGATGGGTGGAACATTCATGGCCCTGCCTGAAGACTACAGAGATTACTTCATCAGAAACCTCCACGATGCCTTATCAGGTCACACTTCCAATAATGTAGCAGAGGCTGTCAGGTAAGCATCTTGATTTTCCTTAATGTAATTATTTAAAAGTGTACTTTAACTGGTGTAAGAACAAAAAATACCGAAGACACAAATTCCAGCCTTGGTTTTTGTGTTTTGTTTTGTTTGGTTTTTTTTTTTTTGAAAGGCAACATTTATCCAAATATGTGCTTAGACACAGAATATTTATAACTCAACTTGCAGCATTGCTCTGTGTGCTGCCTAGTACCAGCGAAGATGGGGCCATGGTTTATCTATTTTCTCATGTAGGAAAAGCTAAGTTTCTTCAAAGTTCTTGGCATTCCATCTGGACTTCTACCTTTTGTGCCTCGTCACCTTGATTTGGAGTTGTGACGAATCGCATTGCCATGGGATTTATTTCTTTTAGCTGGGAAGGGGAACTGATCCTGGCTTGGAGGGAGGCCAGACGTCAGCTCTTGGAAGGGCTGACTCACCCCCGAGAGCGTCAGCGCTCCGGAGATCCGAACCCCTCGCCGTCTCAGCTACCCTTGCTGTATTGCAGTGTGACAGGGAGCTGCTCCTCTTGCTCATTTTACAGTTGATGAACTGATTTATTTGTGTGTGCTTTGGGTGATGGAATACAGAAGTTTCCAGTGCATTTTGCAGAATAAAACTGAGAAGAAAAATGAGAAAGTTTTGATGTTTTGGGGCTGGTAAAACTAGGTGAGCATCCCTACTGACAGCTTTAGTTTGCTACCTTGTGCTCCAGCGCAGTGGATTTTCCTTGATGCCTCTATTAGCTACTAAAGAAAGTGGTTTTAAAACTGAGTAAGACAAGCCCTTGTCTAGCTTCATGTCTACCTTCATATTTTAAAGCTGTAATTTCATTTCGTTTTCCTCTGGAGGGCAGCAAACACTTCTGTGGGTTTTTTTCTCCTTGTCATTCAAAGACCAGACAAAAAGTGCTATGCTGCTCTTTCCAAGTAGGCTTTATCAAGATAAAATCACGAACAAATTGTGAAAAGAATTGCTTTTCTTCTGCTCCAGTGCCCTGGTTGTGAGCACTGAAGGACACCACTCGCTATGGAAGAAGGGTGGATTTTGGAGGTTGTCTATTCAAATTATTTATATGTACGCCAGGTGGTTCAGGATGTGGTTATTCTGTATTTTTTTTTCTGCTGCAGGTGTCTAGCTAATTTTATTTGACCTAAAATTGCTTTTTTGAGTAGTCTGTTCTTTGCTCTGCAAACTATTTAAGACAAAATTATTTTAATTTTCAGTGCATGCACAAATGAAGTGACTCTGAAGTGAGTGTGCTGCCTGGCAAGCATGCAAAATGAGAATGCGAGAAAACCTGCACTAACAATTTGTGGGGTTTTTTCCAGCAGATAAATAAAGGTTTATGTTTTTAACATAAAATTCATGTTAAATGCTTAGTAAATGGAGGTGTGTGGGAGTTACTCAGGTTGCACTTGGTAAATATTCTAGAGTCGAGAAAATTGAGTTCAAGATGAATCAGACCTTCTACTTTTTGTGCTTCTTGCGTTTAGTTGTTGTACTGTGTCACTGCAGTGCTGTTTTGAGATGGTCAGTGACACCTGATATAAACATTCAAGGTTGTATTTATTTCTCTTTGTACGTGAGGATTCAGCCCTTCTCCCTCTCTGCTTCCATCAGCAGAGATGCCACATAGGGAATACTGACAATATTTTACTTGTTTTCTATTGTGGGCACTGCGTTAGGTGGTAATGGGTGAGCGAGACAGGATCATTAGTTAATTTTGAACATGATCATGGTAGCCTTGAAATTTTTCCTCCTTGTGCAAATCATTAGTTAATTTTAGATTTTGTCCAGTGATTCCCTAATGGGGAAAAAGACCTTCAGCCAGGATACTTTTAAAAAAAATCTTTCCGCATATGACCTTTGATTAAACCAGTGCAGCATCTATCCGGATAGGCTTCAGTCCACCTAACTGCAAACGTGTTTTTTCCCCTTTTGTCCGGTTTTTTTCTTTGTCCTAAACTTGAGCTCTGCTTCTACATCCAGTGCTGTCTTTCCAGTGACGGTGATACGCTGACCTACACAGCCTGAATTGTGGAGCACTGACAGGCTCATCAGTCTGGCATTGATGTAATTTGGAATTTTCTTCATATAATACTTTGTCTTGATCAGCCTGCTGCGGCTTCTGGTCCCAGCTAATCTGATAACAAGGATGTGACTGTGCAGCTTCAGCCCGTTCAGTACGACCGCAGCCTGCCATGGAGGTGTACACTCCTGCTCTCCGGGAACCAGCTCTGGCAGTCCGACTGAAGAAATAAGTCCTCAGGCTGCGGCGTCCCTTGGACTCCAGCTGATGTTCTGAGTTGACGTCTGGCTTTCTTACAGATTCAGTGTTAGGGTGAGTCTGGCCCCGTGGCAGATCTCAGAGCTGCACACCCAGCGGTGCCTGTGTGGCAGAAATGATGGGCTGTGGCCGTGAGCTGTCTTGGGGCGCTGCTCGAGCCAGCTGCTGACAAATCAATGAGTCTGAAACTGGCTTTATGTTCAGTGGAGAGAGCAGGATCTTCACGGGACGGCTCAGAGCAGCGAAGCCAGGTTGCTGCTTTAAACAGTTTCTGGGTAAACCGGGCAGCTGGCTCGGAGGGTGTGAAGAGCTCCCTTTCTCCCTCTAGTTATAAAGGAGATCCTTTTTGCATGAGTGGACCTGGAGATGGGTTAAGATTTCGATTTTGATGGATTCATGAACAGGACATGAGCGTAGAAGTGACTGTATTTATCTACATGAACTCACCAACCAAAAAGTGTGATTTTAAAAAAAATAAACAGAGAAACTGCGAGGCTTTCATAGCAACTCTGTGTGAGTAGAGGAAGGAAATTACTTCCCTGAAAAAATGTTGCTGGTGTTTAATATTTCTCTAGCACCTCCCTGTTGAAGTAATAAACACTTTTTAGGCTATTCAGACAGAAGCCTTTGCTTGAGGTGCTTTGCTATGCTTGAGAAATAAGTTGCGCAAGGAATGAGTAAAGAATTGCAGAGCCAGAGGGGATCTTTGTTTTGTACAGAGTGCGCAACAAGCCTTGAAGTTTTAATTTTTATCTGCTGAGAGCACCACTTAAGAGATTTCAGTGCGTTTCTGGATGCCTATCAAGCAGGGTTGTGGGCTTGGTGATAAGCTTCCCTTCTTTAGGAGGAGATTTGTAATTACTGCTAAAGAAGCGCTATAAGACAGATTTTTCTTTTTGTACGCTAGAGAAATGCATCTTCCTCCGCGAGCTGCTGCCATCAAGCCGGAGTGGTGCCTTGATCGCTGATTGCGGCTGCCTTTGCTCTTTTGGGAGGACAATGAGCGGAGAAGGTGTAAAAAGCACATGCAGATGAGAATTGCTGCTCCCCATCATCTTGCTCCTCTCACCTGACCCATGAGTCATTAGAGGTGCTGGGCATATTTAGCTGCCGCCGTGACTCACCACTTAACTCCGAGGGCTGAGCACCTCTTCTCTGAGCCGGGATCTGGCTTTTAATTAGTGACTGAGGCCAAAGGAGAACTTGGCTGTGTGGAGAAAGGCAGGTGGTGGAAGGGCTCCGCACCCGTGCAGCTCCTTGGACTGCAGCATCAATCCTGGCTTCTCTCGGTGTATTTCAAAATGCACAGAAATTATTTTTTTAAATCTAACAGTATCATGTGTTGCCTGATGTTTGAGCTGGTCATGAATCACGTTGTTAATGGCAAAGTAAGAAGGGGATAAAATTGCTGGAACTGCATGTTCTGCGATTCAAGTGTCTTGTGTACCTGATGTTTCTGTGACTATATTCAGGTGCAGAGCAGACATCATAACTATTGCCATAATAGGTCTGGAATCCAAGACTGGTTCGGTTTTACATCCCCTCATCAGTCCGTAGGCGCTTAAAAGGCTCATTTTCCACTTGCATCATGCGCTGGAGCCCAGAACTTGCAGAAGTGAGTACTGTCGGCTGTGTTTGATTCCTCGTGGAGAAATTGCAGCTCCTAGTGCTGGATGACGCCGTGAGACTGCCTTTTTCTGAGGCTCATCGTCAATTGCTTTTGCCAAGTGTCCTTTTGTGTTCCCACCATTAGCTGCCTCTTCTGCTGGGCTGGTGAGCAGGCGGCAGTGCTTCCCGCTGCTGCAAATATTTTCATTATGCACGAGGAAATTTCCTTCAGGTGTCCCAGAAGCCCTATTGATCTTTTGACAAGTGGTAAGCAGCTAGATCCAGCTACTTTAGAGCCTTCCCTGGGAGAAGACACAGGTTTTAAATAACCACTACTTAGGGCTGGATTATTGTGTGACCAGTTTAAGACCTCTTAGCCTATCGAGGAAGAAAAAAAACCCAAACCAACCCCAGAGCATTGGCAGTTTCAGCAGCAGTTGGTTTGATATGTGGAGCTCCTGAGACATTTTCAAACCCAGCTGGAAATCACTCTTCTTGAACACGCCAGATCAGAGCAACCCATTAAAAATGTGTTTTGTGTGGTTATCAGGTGATGTGTTTTCTGGAAAGATCGTTATATTCTTTTCTCAATTACCCACATTAAGCCTCATGTATCAGTGCTTCTTCTAATAGAAGCTGCAGAAATATAGTGATTGTGAAGGTTGACAACCAAGCAACTCATGATTTTGCTTTTCTATAGTGAGGAAGAAACCTACTTTCAAAGGTTGCTCTTTATTTTCAAAGTAAGTCTGTTTGAAATTTCCCAAATAAGACTTTAGGTAGAAGACAAAGCTGTCTGCAGCTAAGTCTAGTCTTGCTGCTGCCACTGGTGTAATTTTCCCAAGATTTAGCCCGACTGCTTGACTTTTAGGGCACAGAAGTTACGTGGGTAACAGTGGGCTGTGCTGTTGCGGCTCCCTTTGTGTCTGTATTTCACTGGCCCCACTTGTGAGGAATTCTAGCGTACCGTGGATCTCAATGAAAGAGATTTAAGCAAGCATGCTTTACCTTGCGGTTAGTACGGGCCGAGAGGATGCTCTCCCACAGTTCAGATGGCTCAATTGACATATGGGTGCTTGTTACACTAATTGTGCTTTCT